ATTAAATTATAATAAAAATAAATTAAAGAAATTACATAAAAAATGAGAACTTTTAAATAGTTGATTTGATACTAACTAACATTAATATTTTTTTTTTCAAATTTTTATGATATCTTCAACTTTATATTTTATATTTAAAAATAAAATCATTATCATTTTCTTAGAAAAACATAAAATCGTACTATAACATCGACAGAGACAAAGAATAAAATAAAACATTAAAATCGAGATGTATCTCGATACATTATGTAAGTACACTTCAAGTATGTTTTTAATACTTTTTAAAGGCATATTTTTGAGAAAATGCAATACTGAAATATAGGGGCCTAATCAAATGAGAACTAATTAGTTTGTGGTAACCGTGAGATCCAATCTCAACCACAAATCAACAAATAAATTAGGAAATTTATAATTTTGGTAATTTTGAATTAAAAGTTTAATGCAAAGACATTTTAGGTATTTTAAAACTCTCCTCTTTCCGTCCCCTGTCCTCCGGTCACCATCCTCCGGTGATACCACAATGGTATCACAATGCATCATATATGTGCTTGGGGTATCACACTGAGGTCGTTTGTGTGATCGATCGAAGATATAACACAGTGGTGTCACAATGCATCTTATATATGTTTGGGTATCACAATGTGTCTTTTGTTTAACATAATCAATATTTTTAGGTATCACAGTGCTATCATCGGAGGCCGGAGGACGGAGAGAGAAGAGAAAATACCTAAAATGTTCTTAAATTAAAATTTTAATTTAAAATTATCAAAATTATAGATTTAATTTATCTATTGATTTGTGATTGAGATTGAACCTTACGATTACCACAAACTAGTCAGTACTTCCTTGAACGAGCCCCTTGAAATATATTCTTACATTTATGCTGGCATATAAATTGAAATCTTCCTTTAAAAATCACCCCACCCCCTGGACAAAAAAGATCACACCCCAACACTAGAAAAGGTCCGTCCACTAATATCTAATAAATCCAATAATTTATAAATTAAACAAAAGAGTAAACTGCAATTTTGGTCCATAGGGTTTGTTGGATATAACGGTTTCTATATCTACAGTTTCGGATTTATAAGCTGGTCATCGTAGTTTCTAATAATGTTCGGATTTGATCTGTCCCTCTAATGGTCACTAAGGGGCCGTTTATCAAACACTTGTGTTTACCGGTAAATTTTAATACTATTATGTACTTACCGGGTAAGATTTTAGTCCAACAAAACAATATCGTATGCAACAATTTACCCGGTAAGCGCTTACCTTGGTAAGAGTCGTCGCCCTCACTTACCGGGTAAAACTCTTGGTCTTTGTCTCGCTCTTACCGGATAAGATTCTTGATCATTACTATATTCATCCGGTGAGTTAATGTTACTTGGCCCCCAACTTTTATCCGAAGGGCATTTTAGTCTAAGGGGCTGTTTGTTTCCCTCTTAATGGTGACATTAAGAGGGAACCTCTTAATCGGTCAGATGTGAGACATGTTTGGCAAAAAAATAAAAGCCTCTTAATGGTTACTCAAAGCTCTTAACCATTTTGAGGTTGAATCCATGCTAAACCATTCAGATTATTAATTTTCCCTCTTTACCCTTCCACACCTACCAGCCCACTCTCTCCTTCTCCACATCGCCCTTCCACACCAACGCTAGATCATCGTCTCCTTAAGGGAAAATCGCCGGTGACCTCCATCTTCCACATCTCCATCGCCGGTGACCTCCATCGCCGGTGACCTCCATCTTCCACACCTCTGTTTTCGGCCGCGCCCCTGTCCACCTTATCGACGTTCCATCGCCGGTGACGCGCCACAGCTTCTCGACGCTCCATCAGGTAATGTCTCCGGTCGTACAGGGCGTTTAGTCGCCGGTCGCTAGTCGCCGGTCGCTAGTCGCCGGTCGCTAGTCGCCGGTCGCCGGTGACCTCTAATCAGATTATTTCTTTTCCCTATTTACATTTCTCGAAGCTATTATCACTTTTACATCAAGATTGCTATCACTTTTTGTTTATAGATCTTCTGTTTAGATCAACTATTTAGATGGGGTTTATAGATTGCTATCACTTTATCTTCKGTTACAATCTTGCTATTTATCACTTTTCTTATAGATCTTGCTATTAATTTGCTTATAGATCTTACCAAGTACTTGACATCTAAACAAGCATACTAGGGTTTTTTGAAGATTGCTATCA